ATATCGATTGAATCTGGAGAAACTTTGGTGTGCTGAAGGAACGGTTCCTCTGCAAAGGTAACCAGAAAAGTTTCTGTAAATTAGAATGGCACCCAGCCAGCCCACAGCCGGTCTGAGTGCTGCTGCAGGCAGCCCAGCAGAAATGTGCAACAGACTCACGTTGGTTTCTAAAGAGTAATTTAAATACATTAGTAAATCAATGACATTGGCAGTTTGATGGACTATGATGGAGCAGTCCTCATCTGAAACATCATCTTTAAAACCTGCAAAGCTCTGGCAACTGAGCTTTTACAACTTTACTGTGTTGTTCGTTTTTTAAACTTTATCTTCCCTCCCCCACCCCTCAAACAGCTTCTAGTGTGTGTTTATCCCAGCTTACACTGACAAGAGGTTTCTCTCCTGCTGGACTGGCCCTCAAGCCCTCTGGACTCCCCAGTGTCCCATCAGTGTGAGAAAGAAGAAAGGCTTTATTTGGCCCCTCTCAGCCACAGAGAGGCAGGAGGTGTCAGTAACGTGGCTGAGGAGAAGCTCTGCTCTACGAATGTACAGATACAGGCTCAGAAAGGAGACAGTGCTTTTCTTCAACAGGAGCGACCAACATTTCTTTCCTTTTACCTGACTGGCATACTCTTATATCTGGAGGGGTGTTAGCCACCCTGAACTTAAAATAGGAAACAGTGGTTGACATTTAGAGAAAAGCAAGACATTTTTGCCCCAGGAAGTGCTCCACAGGGTCATATAAAATGATCACATCTTTCAGCACCAAGTCCTACCTCCCTGAAGATCTGACCTCAGGCAAAGCCAAGCACTGCTGTGAAAGGAGCTGGATCCACCAGGAGATGTGCAAGTCTGCCCAGCCTGTCAGCCTGGAGTGCATTCTTGTTGGGACTTCTGTCAGGTTGGACTTCACCATTCCAAGGGATTTCATTTGCAGTTAAAGAAAGAACAATCTCCCTGCCTTGAGAACATCTAGAGAGTTACCTTGTTGCCTTCTTCAGTAATAAACAGCTCTTTGCTAAAGTCATCCTTCATCTACACAGTAAATAAAAATGTCAACTGAAGTGAGTTCCTGTTTCTCAGCAGTCAAGCAATACAGTAAAACTCAAAATAATGTATTTAAACAACGATTTTGAGAAAGAATGCAAACCTTAAGGAAGTTTTCATATAATCATTGCCTCTCAGTTGATCAACATACAAAGTGATTTAGCTGTGGACAGGATTTAGAAGGCTGATACTCAGATCATCTTTAGAGACAAAAAAAAAAAAACCAAGACCTCATCAAAACCATTGATTCCATCTCTCTTCACTTAACACCTAAAGAACATTTCCAGTTAAAAAAACTGCAACTTCAAGAAACGAAAACAATCCTCCTCAAGTTTGCCTGTTTAATTTTAATTCTATTGTGTAGGTGACCTTACTGCTGTCAGGCAACATTTCTCACCTATTTAAGAAGGAATTCAACTGGAAATGCTAAGATTTTCAGCTGACTATTTTTATCTAGAGGAAAATAACCTATCAATCAAACGGCAGAAACATACTTGCTAGTCAAAGTTGGGTTTATTTCTACCATTCCTGCCATACATCAACCAGGCACAATAACGTGTCTTTGCAGAAGAATTAGCCCAACTGAGACAGCCGTAGTGAGCTCACATGGACTTTTATGGCATAATTCCTTAGTTTTTAGTTGCCTAAACACAAAGCTTGGGTTTCTCCACTACATTCACAAACTGTATTGTTTACAGAGGCAGAACAGGTAGAAATGTTCCCTTTATGTTGTAATTCTCACTAAGACCATGTAGTCCTACACCAGTCAAAATGCAATGATTCAGGCTGCCAAAGCAAATGTTTACCTGGGACAAAGAGTGAAAGAGATTGAAGCATTTACAAGCAGCTCATATCTATCTTTCTAAACCCAAACACTCAAAAATCATAACTTTGAACCCTCTCCTAAATCTCCCAGGATTTTGAAAGATGTTACCTTCAAAATTGTGGAATATTACATACTGTGATGTTCTCCATTTTAAGATATTTAGATAGAAAACCAAGTTTTTATCAACAGTTCAGAGACAGAAGCTCCACTAGTGGGAAAAAAAACCGCATTCCATATTTATATGATTCCTGGAGGCTGATCTTTAAAAATAGTCCAACCATTACAATTCATCACATGTAAATTCATGGGACTTGGCAACTACGTCAATGTCTCTAGGGATGATGGAAGAGGAGGAGAGCTCTTGGCTAAGTGGGTTAAACGTTCTTTTATTTTTTTCCATCTCTTATTTATTTACTACTTCTTTATTAAATAGAAGGAGCATGCTGAAAGTGATTTCTTAAAAGAAGCCCATTGATTCGCTCCAAGTGTTTTGGAGACGTGTGCTTACCAATACCCCACACTAAGTATTCTGACACTCATTCAACAAAACTAGATGCATACTGCAGAAAGACAAACTAGAAAATAAAAATATTTTTTCCCTGAAAAACACGTCCTTTCTAAGACTGTTGCCCATGGCAAGTTAGGAGTGAAAAGTCAGGTTTAATAAAAGTACAGGAGAAGAGCAGTTTCAGAGTAGCTGTTCATTTTCTTTTGTTGTTAAAGGCAGAGAGAATCCCATGGTGCCAAAACAAGTGCAGTATTTTGTGGTTGCATTCTGTTTTTCCAAAACAGAAAAACTAATCTTTATCAAATTTACAAAATCAAGAGAGGACAGGTGGAGGGCAGATTATTACTCTCTGCATTCTAAAATGTAAAATAAGAGAAACACAACAGTTCCTACCTAGCACAGACACCTGCTGTTCCAGACACGGTCAGTGCTACAGCTCAGCTTTGCTTGTGGGAGTTCAGCCGCACCTTTGCTTTGTAATTCCACAGTGCTGGCTGACAGCTATTATTATTTGGTGCCTTTGCACCAGAGCTTACAAACTCCAGGCCATGCAGGCACACAGCGCGGCGAGGCCCCGAGGAGGCCCAGCAGCAGAAGGCTGCCAGCATCACACACCACCCTGCAGCACAGCTTTGCTATCAGTCCCACCTGGCAGTCCGTGTGCAGCCCCACCAAAAGCTGTGATCTGCAGAGGCTTTCAGACACAGCTGTCAGAAGAGCCTTCCTCTTGCATGCCAATAACTGAAGCTGATCTACAATTTACGCTTCGCTGTGTACCAGACTCCTACTCCTGAGGAATATTTACCATCCGAAAACAAAAACACTGCCATAAGGTGTGAATAACATCAAGTCCTTTGTTTAAGAGGAAATACTGTGACTGGCTGATATTTTCCAACACTGCAATAATTTTATAAAAACCTACAAACAGAGCAACTTGCACCATATGATTGTGGCTCTCAGGCCTGCCACCCCCAGCTCTGCTCCAAAATGAGCACAAAGGCAATCAGAAGAACCCAGCACAGCACTGTTTTTGGTCACAACATTCATTCTGGTCATTCTGGTGGCCAAACTGGAATGAAGTCAGATGGTTACAATTGTTTGCTTCTTTTTTTCTCCTTCAGATTAACTTGGATATTGAGAAGTTTACACTATTATGTACACAATTACACTATTACCCTAATACAAATGCCCCTGTTTGTTGCAGGGCAGTTGGCCTTTAAGAGTCCCCTCCAACACAATTCTACAACTCCAATTTCATTGCCTAATCTCCATGACTGTTCCTCCACGGGGCTTGGGGAGATTAATACATGCAAGAGCACTGCAGAGCTTTGATAGCACGTTACAACATCTATCTCTTGAAAGTACATTCGGGAGAGATGTGGATCACCCAGAATATTACTGCAGAGGAAAATCTAACACTTTGCATTATACCTAAAACATGCTGCAATAGGATGATTCTAGGGTGCAGCAGCAAATAACTCTGTTGCTTGGTGCACGCATTTGGAGCGAAAATACACACAGCTTTTTGTTTCCTGTCAAACAACTCAGTTAATTTTGGTGTTAAAGCCAGCTGTCATAACATCCACTTACAAGGTTTGCATCCATTATTTATTCACCAAAAGAGGAACTATAACTAAAAAGAAACAGAAAATACTGCATAGAAAGATTGTTTACGCTTAGATCTTTTTACTCACAACACAATGGAAAGCACAGCAAAATGGCAGGGTAGCATGATCTTAAGCTATATAGAGTAAGGGTCTGCTTGGATAAAAGAACAGAAGGCACAAAAATAAATTGGGGAAGGAAAAAAAAAAAAAAAAAAAAAAGCTGCTTACCTTCAGAAGAGCTCAGGTACACAGGAATCTCCAACAAAACCCCCCTGCATCCACTGCTAACCCTTAAATGAGGTCTGGGAAAGGGTGGATCCTGGCTCCTCCCCTTCTGGTCACTCAGGTGTATGCAATCGCCTGGGCTGGCCTTGCCTTCCCACCAGGTGCTCAATCACCGGTTCAAGCTGTGACTTAATATTCTCTCCACACTACTGCTGTCTACTCCGTACATGTTATGTTAAATTCCACAATCAGAAGCATAAATGAATCCATAAATAAATCCCAATAAATCAGAACCATAAATAAATTGTGTTCATATCAGAAGATGCCATTATTTCACCACTGGGAATAAATTTAGCCCAGTGAAGTCACTGACCACAAGAAGCCCATGTATCATGTTCAGCACTGGGGTTCCTGCTGCAGCTTTGCAACACAGCCTTTGCAAAGACAGCACTGCTACCTGTCTGAGCAGATGGAGCACTCGTGCCATGCTGCTCTGTTCACCATCCCCTTCTTCTGCTCTGCCACAGGGTCTTAGCTGGCACAATGACTTCATGCTGTGTCCAGAGCCAAGAAAGCTCCTTAAAGCATACAAAGCTCCATCAACCTGGAGATAGTTTTGGCTGCTACAGAGCTTGCTTATCCCAGATAAATTTCTGAACTGCTTCCCTACCTTTTTGCCTACAGAGGAATAACACCACTTTGAGGATAGCAAAAACAGTCCGCAAGCCACCTTGGCACGTCCCTTTAGTTACACTTTATATGTCAGCCAGTATTAACATTTCTGCCTTACCTTTGTACAGAGTATCTGCGTCCTCAATTGGAAGCTGCTTCTTGGCAGCTGCTCTGCGATAGACCACGTGTGTTCTGCCTCCTTCCTCCTCTTCCTCACGAGTCCCCTTCTCCAGAGGTTCAATGAAAAACTCGTCCTTGTCCGTGCGAATCATGCCAGCCTGGAGGAACAGGGCAGAGATCGAACATTTTGTGTTACTGCACACCCAGCTGACACTGTGAGTAAATAGTTACAGTATGCTTAAGCACACATTAGTGTCCTCTAGAGAGCAATTAGGATGCAGAAAGGAAGCCAGGTGAATTCCTTATTAGAGCAAAATGAAGTTCCATTTCCCCGACTTGACAAGAAAGGACAAAAGCTAAAACCCTGAACCAAAGGGATTTCTCCTTAAACCAGATGAGCGAAGCACAGGTCTGAGAACCTGTCTAGGAAATACCACCTCAATTAGAAACCAGCTACAATGCAAGTTAATATGACCTTGGCTATCTGTCAGCCACAGACTGCTCCAGTGCCTCCTATCTGCTAAACAGAGGATGGGGTCAGTGCTGTAAGCTGGTCCTGATGGGCACTTCCACAGCCAAAAACTGTAGTCAGCCTTTCTGTTCAGAAGCAGAACAGAAGTGCTACAGATTACATGCAGGCAAATAAGCGCAGAGATTATTTTCCCCTTGACACAAAGCGTTGCACTGACAAAAAAGAGAAATAAAAGAACTCTTTCAAGAATTAGCCATAGCTCCTTTTGAGAAAGGTGCCAGCAGCACTTCTGCTAAGAGAGAAAAACTTATTCAGCCTGGAACGGCTGCCCTGGTATGGAAAACTGAGACATTTACACTACTACAGAGCATCTCAGAGGAACATCATCCGAATGATCCTCAGCACTGAGCACAGCAGGGAATCCACCACAGAGCCTGAACACCTTGAAGAGGTATTTCTGTTGTTTTCATGCAGGTGGAAGAACTGGGCACCGTGGTGTTCCACACGTGTCTCCCACATGCAGCCCTGCCCAAGGGCACAGGATACATTGGGCAGCAGTTCCCTGCAGAGCTGGTTGGCTTCAGTCCATTTTTCTGCATATATTTCCAAATCTTTTTGAGAACTTCAAGTGGCAAAAAGTTACCGTGTGAATTGAAAGCCTTACTGTTCATGTGGAATAACTTTAAACTGTTAAAGTGAGAAAGCCAAAATGAGCTTCAGAAGAACCTCCCTCCTCATCACACTCCTGCCACTCTGCCCACTGAGCACACCCAACTGACAGGACTGGACTGGGAGCTTCTGGATGTGATGACAGTTCTCAGGACCTGTGCTTCTGGGACCCCCAGCCCCGCTGGGAGAAACTCAACCTCAGGCTTCCAGGAGAAGCAGTTTGCCTGCCTCAAACTCAGTACCCTCACTTGAAACAAGCATCATCTAAAACACCCTTACCATATCCCAGCAGTAAAGTTCTCATACAACTCATATTTTTCCTTCTACAAGCAGCAAACTGCATTTCTACCACTATAAATACAGTCTGTTCTTCGGTTCACTCCTTGGAAAAATGTCAGGTTCATTTGTCATGTCTTAACTCACATTAGGCAAGATTTCCAGTCCCAGATTTCATGTATGTAATGCATACAGAAACAGATTGAAGAGGAAGGATTAAAGAAGCAAAATTATATCGAAGCAATTTAAACCAGTGCCATCCTGCCTGTAAGAGAGGAAACTGAATTTGAAATCCTGTCCTGGTTCTTCTTATCTAATTTAGATTCTACATCAGGCACAGAAAAGGTGAGACAGGCTCAGCAGCTGAAGGCAGCTAAAACAAGCAAGTGCTCAACCCAGAGAGACAGCCACTCATATTCTGGAGTGTTTTGAGGAGTACATGACAACTTCAGAACTGAGTTACCCTTCATTCTCCTTTTAATACTTATTTTACGTGTATATATGCCCACATACCTTCTGATATTGGATATTATATTCAGCAATGCTGAAGTCTTTTAATGAGAAATGCACAACTAAGGATGAAGAAGGAACAGGCATTTGCATGCTTACCTGCACAGCATACAACGCACGTGCCATACACATGCCCAGGAGAAACACATGGACATCCAATGAAAGAACAGGATTTTGCTTTTAGCAAGTAAGATGCATTGTTGCAAACATGTTTCTACATATTTCTGGACTTTTTAAACCTATTATTAAACCTCAGCAGCTAATGCCAATTCTTAATTGTTCATGCATTGTTTAAAATGCAGTCCATACCTGCAGGACGTGCAGAGGGATGTGCCAATGAGAGCCTGGAGTTCAAACCTTCCATGGAAATTACCAGGCAGACAACTTCTGTCAGATCTGATCTACTGCTTTCTACTGGTTTTAGAAGAACAACTTTTACAATTGTGTGTATTTGGATTGTAAAAGAATTATATATTTTTCTATAGATTCTACACAGTTTTTCAATTAGTCAATTTATTCTTGTGTCTTAAGTTGAATTAAGTAAGAAAATATGGCTTTATTTAAGAGTTTAGGAAGAAAATTCATTGAGACTGCAAGGCAGAGTTCCCACAGCAATCCAAAGTTCAAGCCATCTGCCTAAGAACATATCCACAATTATACAAGGCCCATTCACATGGTACTCCTGCATTTCTCCACCACGCAATTCCTTGCCAGTTCAAGTGAGAGGTTTAACCTCTTCATGTTCATTTCTCTACTTCTTAACTACCATAACAACAGTCTTGCAGGATAATTCAAAAGGCTGACTTATGTTTTTTGCCAAGTGCTTTGAATTTGAAAAGCTCAGGATGAATTGCCTCACGATTTTCTTCTGATAAAACTCAGAACATCTCAAAAAAAGCCACCAGGAAGCTGCGATTGCTTGCAGGCACCAGGTGTTGCATTGTTTGAGCAAATTTGTGCCTTCCTTTCAATACTGGCTGGACTAAGAAGACTTGAGAACAATCTTGGATTATCCTCCATTTACTCCAGGCAATGTGCAAACAGAATTAAGCCTTTCAGTTCTCAGTCTCTTCAAGTTCTGGGCAGAACAGCTCCCAGAAGCTCGCAAGGAACTGCTACCAGCACTGCCCCGCTCTGTAATGCCCATTGCCCATCCTGGCAGTGCTGCTCATGCAGGCTCAGGAACATGCCTGTGGTGTCCCCTCACAGCCACGCAGATGCTGTGTTACACAGCCAGGAGCAGGGCCCAGCCTCTGTCCCACCAAGCCTTTACATCCTCATCTTCTGGAGCTTCTAAGTTCAAACTAAAGTGAGTGTGAGAATATTGCAAAATAATGATGGCAGCTGTGACTGTGTCCTGTGACTAATAAAAATACAAATTAATTGAAAATGCATTTGTCTTTGGAACACAATGAACTGTAGCAAAGAGCCCACTATTTCCCAAAGCAGGACATCCCCAGGCCTTCCATCCAAGGGTTCCCAGAACCCAGCAGCAAATTACTCTAGCCAGGCACTGCTTAGCACTCATTAATATGCATTAAAGGCAGAAGACACTTAATCAAAAGGAAACTGCAGTTCAAAGAATCAAAACCTCTGCTGAGGTTAGCAAGGCAGTTATTTGGAAGTGAAAGCCACTCAGGAAAAAAACCCGTAAGGATGGCAGAGTGACTGCCCTGTCTAATTAAGACAAAGATTATATTGATAAGGCACAGATGAGTTCATAGCGACACACAGGGCTGGCATTAGGGCTGCACTAATCTCTTTGGGGGGCAATGGAGCTCCTGTGCCCTTGAAGACCTGCCAGGCTTTCAAGGACCAGAGGATCTACAGACACCCATAAGCGTGAGGATGGCAGGGGCTCTTCCCTACCTGCCCAGCTACACAGGACAAGGCCACCCCTCCCCACAGGACCTGCTGCCCCATCCCCGCAGCCAGGCCTCCCAGCAGCTCTCCCTGCACAGCTCTGTGTTGGAGCAGACCTCACCTCCTCAACACCCCGACCCCACTCACATTTCTAAAGGCATTCTTTAAAAGTGTAATTTGATAGAAAAACTGCCTGGCATATTTAGGATCTACAGAAAATCCCGAGTTTTAGAGCTTTACCTCCTGTGGCTAATTAAATGTGCACTCAGTGAGCAACTTAATTGTCTCCTCATTCCCATTCCCATCACAGCTCCTGTTCTAGGCTGTAATGAAGCAACCCGTCTAACTGCTGCTTCAGACTCCAGAGCTTCAGCCTATCCTGTAACCGCAAGTTTAATTAATGTTCATTTTCTTCCTCATTAGTACTGCTTTACAAAGTTTCTCATTGCCATATAAAGGCAGATTTACTTCCCAATCTCCAGGCGTGTGATACAGATATGAAGCTAAAATTAAATGTGAGCAAACCTGAAATTAATAATAATTTTTACAAAATCTAAATGTGTGCTTATTTAATTAAATCTACAACCTACAAAACCAGAGTGTTTCATAGAAACTGTTTTTCTGTAAATAGAGAGTTCTGGGTTTTTTGGGGGAGAGTGTTTGATTCTGAAAAAGTAATTGCCACATAAGGCAGAATTTGGTTCTACCTGTGCAGAGCCAAATCCTAAATACAGCCCTGAACTTCATGGAATCTTCCTTGACACCAAAGGGAGGTTTGGGCTATCTGACCGTTAAGCTGAGTGCTTGGTTAGCAGCCTGCACTCCCTATGATGTCAGTGAATCCTCCAGAGGGGAATTTGCAGTATGGTATCCTCCCAGCAATCGATTCTCAGAGAAGCAGGGACGGGAGATTTGCATTTCACTGTACAGTTGCCAGAAAACATTCTGTAAATGACTCAAAAGAGAAAATATTTATATTTGCAGGACAACAGATCAGACAGGGACTTCTTCCACTTCTATATCAATGTGTGCTCTAAATATACTTCATTGCTTTACATTTGACTAAAATTGGAACTAATATGGCACTTTCAGCAGAGAATCTGAAAGCAAATTGAATGTGTTCTTTTTATTTAAGATCCTTCTCTGGGTCTTTGAGCTGCAGGAATGGGCTTTTTCCAAACAGTAACAGATGTGTCCACCCAGCACTGAAGTGCAGAAATGTGGTTCGTTCAATTGCATTGCAATGGACCTGACACATAAAGATCTCAGATGAGTGGAGCGAGATCACCGAGGAAGCCTGGGTAAAACCAAGGACACAGCACAGACCTTCCAAACTCATTCCATCCCATATGGGATTTCTCACCATTT